TAAGTTCATGAATATGAAAGGTTTGGAGGATAATGAGCCAAATGCAGGCAGGTGAGATTAGTTTAGTTTGGGAACATGGTCAGTGTGGACTGGTTGAAGCAAAGGGCCTGCTTCCATGCTGTATGACTCTATGAGAGCTTTAGATTCCTGAGGCTCTGGGACCATTGCTCAGGGAGATTGGAACTGCCATAAGTCAGACAGGTTACATCTGAACAGTAATGGGACCAACAACCTCACTGGAATGTTTGCTAATGCTTTGGGGCTAGAGTTAATCTAAATTGGCATGGGACAGGATGTTAACGAGTAGTTGAGAGGGAAGACAAGCTGAGATAGAAGTCAAGACGTGAGGGTGAGAGAATCTGGAAGGTAGAGGAAACATAGGTTAGCTAAGAAAAAAGTAAATTTAGCAAGGCTGAATTGAATATATTTTAATACAAGGAGTCTGAAGAATAAGATACAGGGTACAGATAGGCATGTGGAATACATCATATCTATGACGGAGACTCGACTGAAAGACGGATAGGACTGGTAGGTCATCATTCCTGGTTAGAGGATGTTAATAAAATACAGAGGGGGAATGGAAGAGAGAGTGTGTAGACGCAATAATGATCAGGTAATCAATTTTAGCAATAATGAGGAATGATATCTTGGATTATTCAAATCAAGTCATCAAATGAGGTCATATGGGAAGTAAAAAGCACAATCATACCACTGGACATAGGAACAGGAGTAGGCCATTCAACCCCTTGAGCCTGATCTGCCATTCAATGAGATCATGGCTGATTTGTGATCTAACTTCATTTGCCTGCCTTTATATCCATATCCCTTAATACCTTTGCTTAACAAAAATTGATCTATCTCAGATTTAACATTAACAACCAATCCTCACCCACTACCATTTGCGGAAGAGAGGTCAAAACATCTACCACACTGTGTTTGGAAGTGGTTCCTAACATCTCTCCAGAACAGCGTGGCCCCAATTCTCAGACCTTGCCCACTAGTTCTATAATCCCCAAACAGTGGAAACAGTTCAACCTTATCTACCCTGTATTTTCCCATTAATATCTTGAAGACATTGATCAGATCATCCTTTAACCTTCTAAATTTTACAGAAACAGGCGTAATTTGGATGATCTTTCCTCATAACCTAATCCCTAAAGTCCAGCCATTATTCTTGCAAACCTATGTTGTACTTCCTCCAAGGCCAACACATCCTTCCTCAGGTTTGGTGCCCAGATCAGTGCTCAGTACTCCAAGTGGGGTCTAACCAGGTTGTTGTATAACTACAGCAAACCTCATCCATCCTTGTACTCCAGTCCTCTGGATATAAAGACAAGCTGTGTACATATAGGGCAAAAACATTCAGGGAAACAGAATCAAATAAAAAGCTATTAACAGAGGATTTTAGCTATTCAAAAATTAACAAGGACAGTTGAGTGTACAAGACAGGGAATTCTTGAATTGTGTCCTGGACAACTTTGTAAGCCAGTACACAAAGCCCAACAAGTCTGGACTTAAAATTTGGATATGAGCCAAGACAGGTGCAGGGCGTTATTAGTAAGAGATCATTTTGGAAATAGTGAACATATCTCAAAGACTTATGATAGGCTATAGATTATAGAAAAGGATAAAGATGGGTCATGAATAAAAGTCTTAAACTGAGGAAAGCCTTACTTTACATTAAGATAACATTTAACTTGGCCCAAGTAAGAGAACAGGCTGAATATGTTCCCATAAAGACAAAGGGTCAGACCAAGACCGGAGAACCCTGGATATCAAGGGATAGTTAGAATTAAAAAAGGAGAAGCATATGGCAGGTACAAAGAGCTGAAAATTGCAGAAACTGCTCTAAGAGTATAAAAAGTGCAGAAGGGGAATTCAGAAAGGAAAATAGAAAAGCAATGTGAGTACGTGGGTAGAAAATATAAACAAGAAAATAACTAGGGAAAGAGTAGGGCCCATTAGGGACCATACAGGTAATTTGTGCATGTACCTAAAAGACGTGGACATAATTAATACTTTGCATCGGTATTCTCACTGGAAAAAGATGATGCAGATACAGACATCAGGATTGAGCTCTATGAAACATTAGAAGAAATAAACAGAGTGTGAAAAGGTACGAATGTGTTTGGAAAACTTAAAAGTAAATAAGTTCTTATGTCCAGCTAAGAGATAACCCAGGCTGTCAAGGGAGGAAATAGCAGGGGATCTGACAGTAATTTTCACATCATCTCTGGCCACAGGTAAAGTGCCAGAGGTTTGGAGGACTGCTAACATTGTCCCATTATTTAACAAAAAGGAGGAAGGGATTAATAAATTACAAGGCAATCAGTCTAACCTCAGTGGTAATTAGGTTATTAGAAAGAATTCTGAGGGGCAGAGTACAGTATATCTACACTTAAAGAGACATGAATTAATCAGGAATAGTAAACACGGATTTATTAAAGGATTGTCATGTTTGACAAATTTGATCAAATTCACGGAGAGGTAATGAGGAGTGTTGTTGAGGGTAAGCATTTAACAAGGTCTACACGATCTTTAGTAAGCTTTTGACATGTCCATCATGTTGACTGGTCAAGAAAGCAAAATAACCCATGGGGTCCAAGTCAAAGTAGCATACTGGATCCAAAACTGACTGGAAGGCAAGAAGCAGAGGGTGACGGCAGAGGGATATTTGAGAGACCTGGCATCCATAGGGCTCAGTATTGCGGCAATTACTGTTTGTGGTGTACATTAACGATCTGGACTTGATGTAGGGAATAACGATTAAGATGTTTATATATGATATTGAAAACTTGCAGGGTAGTAAAAACTGAGGAGGATAGCCAAAATCTGCTGGAGGATTATAAATGGGACTGGTCAGCTGGGCAGAGCAGTGGCAAATAGAACTGAACACACAGAAGTGAGGTAATGCATTTCACATGGACTAACGATGTAAGGGACTATACAATGAATGATAGGACTTTACAGGGTAATGAAGATCAGAAAGACCTTAGTGTGAATATCCATAGATCCTTTAAGGTAGTAGTATAGATAAAAAGGTGGTTAAGGCAGCATGAGATACTGGATGTTATTAACCGAGGCAGAGAATACAGGAGCAAGGAAGATGTACCAGAACCATTAAAAAAAATGGTTAGGCCACAACTGGAGCACTGCATGCAGTTCTGGCCAATGCATTGTAGGGCAATGTAATTGTACTAGAGATGTTGTAGAAGAGATTTACCAGGATGCTACCTTGTTAGAGGGTCTGATCTATGAGGAAAGATTGGATAGGCTGGGGTTGTTTTCTTTGGAGCAACAAAGACTTGGGAAAGTTCCAGATAGGGGTATACAAGATTATGAGGGGCATAGATAGGGTGAATAGGAAAACACCTTTTCCATTAGTACAGGAAACAATAACCAGGTTTAAGACAAGAGGGAGAAGCCTAAGAGGAGAGTTGAGGAGAATATTCTTTTTCTTGAGAGTGGTAGGAATCTAGAACTGACTGTCTGAAGGAGTGGATGAATCAGAAAGTCCTGTAATGGTCGAGTTGTATTTAGATATTCACCGGTGTTGACATGGCTGCCAGGGCTATGGGCCAGAAGACAGAAAACGGGATTAACGCAGTCAGACTTTTATTGACTAGCACAGACACAATGGGCCAAATGGCCATCTTCTGTGCTGAAAACATCAGGAAATCAGAGTTTTATATGTGCTGAAGTTTAGAGGCTGCAAGGTGCAAAGACAGCCAGGAACATCAGAATAGTTGTGTATATGGATAACACTAATAAGCTGAGGCAGCATGGAGATGGGTTGTGTTATGAAATATAGGTGGTCTTGGTGAAGAGGAAGACACCCATTGCAATTCTGTAGTAACTGTTAATATTTCCAAGTACTTATTTTAGAGAATAATGACTTGTTGTAAGTCATTACAAAATTAAAACCAAAATGACAGACATACATCTTAGCTGAATGGAGAGGAAGGAATAAGGGAAAGCACTACAGGATTTTCAATACATTTCCATGGAATTTACAGCCTTAGGATGTTATGGGAGAGATGAGAATGGAATGGCATGAATCAGAGATATCTTAAGCATTAAACTCAAAATTGTTTTCATAAGTGTATATGATAATTTTCAATGTCAAACATGGATTTAATTTTGGCATACTGAAGGTTTTTAAGTAGTTTAGGCGTTGCACTGCATAGACTTGCATCTTCAACCAGAATTCATGCTATACATTTTCCAGCAGGAAATTCATTAGGCAGCAGGAAGAGTAAAAAAAAAAAGCATAAAAATTCAGCATACTTCACTTCGCAACACAGAATTTGTATCAATGACAGTCTGTGCTTAGAATTCAAACTCAACAGTTTAGTTGATAGCAACAGCTTGAATGTTACTGATTCACTCGACTGGATTGCATACTTTTATGGCAGCCACAGCTTGAACTAATTTTCTACGAAAGCTGCCCCCACTCCACCATGAGCCAAGACACTCAATGCGGCCATGGCACAAATGATTAAAAAAAGATCTACCCACAGTTAACATCTATAAAAGCCCATTCAAACATTTAATTTAAAAATAAACCCTTATGTGCAGTAATGTCTCCCATTACTACAAATTACACAGAACACAGATCCGAAAAACCGTAAATATTAACAGAATTCAAATTACTGGGCCCAATGTTATCCGATTTTTTTTGGAATACATTGACCCTCATTGGATACTCTGCATAAAAACCCAAGAGTCAGGCTCGTTATGTGAGTTCAGACAGTGAAAAATATTGGCAAACAGTTGAAAATCTGTCAGCAAAAATGTGAATATACTTTAATCTGACGGGAGTGCCTTTTTGTTTTAAATCCCTGCAATTTTTTTTTTGGCAAAATGTCAAAGCTATATTCAGAAGTACATAAAGTTATCAAAGTCTGCAAACCCTATGTGCACTCTCCCACTGTCAACACACAGTTCATAATGAATTGAAATATTTTGGAGACTAAAGTGTGCAATCTAAGTAAACTTACTTTATTTTCCCCTTCGATTACCAATACAGGGACAGCAGTGGAGGGCCACCGATGTTTGGCTGGCAAAGGTTTGTCACAGTCCCATAACACAATAACCTACAAACAACCAAAAATTGGGATTAATGTACAAAATTTACACTGCCTTTAAGTTTGTGCCAATTAAAATGCTCTATTCCATTAATTATTCATTGACAACACAATTACGGATTTCAAAAGGATCGTCATTAATTTTACTTTGACAATACTTTAACATTTCTCAAACTTTTACTTATAAATATATCTTGACAATACTTTGATGAACATAGAGCTATTAGACTAACATTTCAGGTAAAACAATTTCAATTCAAAAGGAGCACCTAAACTTAATGGTAACGTCCTGGGGAGGGTTGCTGAACAAAGAGACCTTTGAGTGCAGGTTCATAGTTCCTTGAAAGTGTAGTCTCAGGTAGATAGGATAGTGAAGGTGGCATTCGGTATGTTTGCCTTTATTGGTCAGCACATTGAGTATAGGAATTGGGAAGGTTACGTTGCAGCTGTACAGGACATTATCTCAGCTACTTTTGGAGTACCGTGTGCAGTTCTGGTCTCCCTCCTATAGGAAGGATGTTGTGAAACTACAAAGAGTTCAGAAAAGATTAATGTTGACGTTGCCAGGGTTGGAGGTTTTGAACTGTAGGGAGAGACTGAATAGGCTGGAGCTATTTTGCCTGGAGAATCGGAGGCTGACCTTAGATTTATAAAATCATGAGGGGTATGGATAGGGTAAATAGGCAAGGTCTTTTTCCTGGGGTTTTGGTGGGGGGGAGGGGAGGTGACGGTGGTGGTGGTAGAGAGTCCAAAACTAGAGGCATAGGTTTAAGGTGAGAGGGGAAAGATATACAAGGGACCTAAGGGGCAATGTTTTCATGCAGAGGGTGGTGCATGTATTGAATGAGCGGCCAGAGGAAGTGGAGGAGGCTGGTACAATTTCAACATTTAAAGACATCTGGGTGAGTATATGCATAGGAAGGGTTTAGAGGGATATGGGCCAAATGCTGGCAAATGGAACTAGATTTATATAGGATATCTGGTCAGCATGCATGAGTTGGGCCAAAGGATTCGTTTCCGTGCTGTGTATCTCTATGACTCTAAAGACACAGTCTGTGTCATTATCAGAGATAGTAGGAACTGCAGATGCTGGAGAATCCGAGACAACAAGGTGCAGGGCTGGATGAACACAGCAGGCCAAGCAGCATCATAGGAG